CCTGATGGAGGGACGGGGAGATTACTGGGTGAGTTACCTTAAAACTCCTGAAGTCGGGATCCCTGGGTGGCGCAGCGGTTTAGCGCCTGCCTCTGGCCCAGGGCACGATCCTGAAGACCTGGGATCGAATCCCACGTCAGGTTCCCGGGGCATGGAGCCTGCTTCTCCCTCTGCCTGTGTCTCTGCCTTTCTCTCTCTCTCTCTCTCTCTGTGTGTGACTATCATAAATAAATAAAAAAAAAATAAAAAAAAAATAAAAAACTCCTGAAGTCTTTACATGCTGCCTGCTTGCAGGATGCCCCTCACAGCCCAGGCTCCTCCTCCCTCCCTCCCGCTCCACCCCACTCTGCACTACCCTCTGACTCTATGCTCCAGACATCCCCAGTACTCACTGAAGGACCCCCACCCGACTATGCACACAGGGATGAGGAGGGGGAGGGCGCCCTCCCCCTCCCCCACTTACTGGAGGACTCCACGCTGCTCCAGGCTGTACTTGCCACCATCCCGCATGGCTGCATTGTGCACAGCCTCAATGGCTCGGTCAATGGCTTGGAGGACATCCTGCTCCAGGCCCTGGGCAGGGGCAAGGATGGGCGGTTAGATCTGGGGGCCTAGTGAGGGTGAACCGACATCTAGCCCAGGATGGAACCCAGGGCAGACCAAGTAACATTACAGCTAAGGCCTGGAATGCGAGACATGAGCACAAAAAGCTGAACTAGAATACGAAGGTTCTCAAATTGTGTCACTCAGGGAGCTGGGGCGCGGGGTGGCCCCATGCTGCTGCTTTACATATTGGGGCCCCAGTCAGGCCCCACAGTGAGGCTCTCTGAGAATCAGGGATCTAGAGCAAAAACAAGCCCAGGGACCCTTAGCTTGAGACCAGGAGTACATACCTAGTCTATTCCCAGGCTTGGCTCAGGGCCCAGGCTGAATGCCAAGCAGGGAGCCTCTAGTGTCTGGAACCCTTAACAAATCACTCTGGATCTTGCGTATCCTTCTCAAAACCAAGGTCACACTCCAGAATAGCCCTGTCCTCGTAGAGCCTTCTGCAGATCCTGGGGGCCTGACGGACCAGCTGAGGATGGGCCAAAGGGATCCCCTCTTTCCACCCCTGCTTCTAGCTCTCATAACCCCCAGCTGTTCCAGAATTGCCCTGGGAAGCAGCAGTTCTGTGTTTGTGGTAATGGATGGAAATAAAAGAGGGGCCTGGCCCCTGCCCCAGATTCTGTACTGCCAGACCCAGCAACTCAGGAGTCTAATCCCCTCAGCCAGTCTGGCACAGTGTGCAGAGCAGAGGGTGGCAGCTGGGCGACCATCCACCTCCACCCCTCCCCTGTCCACGATGGGCCATAGGGGTACATGGTAGTCTCAGAACTGAGGTGACGTCACTTCAAGCGGGGTCTAAGAGGCTTTCTGATGGGGCCAGACAGATGGATACAGAGGTCAGCAAAGCCCTCCAGGTAGCATGGGGTATGCCGGGATACAGGCAGACAGCAAGCAGAAAGGGGGACAGAAAAAGAAACACCTATCCATAGAAAACAGGAAAGGGGGGGGAGAGGGAGGGAGGGATAGAGGGAAGGAGGGAAAGGAAGAGACAGGCAGAGGGAGACAACGCAGAAAGAAATTGAGAGCTGGAGACAGAGAAAGGCAGAGAGTTGGAATGGCAGACAGAGACAGAGTTAGGGAGACAAAGACAGGGAGATATGCAGAAAGAGACTAGGAGGGGGACGGCAGCCTCTTGGCCCTCACTGAACACCAAGTCCCAGGGGACCCTGGAGAGGAGCCTCATGGCCCCTTGAAGAAGAGTGTTCCAATAGGCCCCCAACTCCAGGGAGGCTGGGTCTGACACGCTCACTCCAGAGCCAGCAGCCCTGTGTCCAGGGCCCCAGTCACACACCCCAGGCACTCCTAGACGGGAGCAAGCTGAGGGTCCTGGCCCTAGGGCGCATCCTCTCTGGTAAGACCAGATGACATCTCCAAATTTATCCTGTTATTTCTGTCCTGAACTGGGCTGGGACAGGATGTTTCTTAAGGACTAGGGACTAGGATGGGGTGGGGGTTTCTGGCACAGGGCAGGCCTGGAGGCTCCAGGCCCTCCTTTCCCCTGAGGTCAGAATAGACACCGGCTGGAGACACTGCACCCCAGCCCCCACAGCAGGACTATTCTTGGGGAAACAGGAACTGGAGATGCAGCCTCCACTGGAAGGAAACAGGGCGACAGCCCAGGGGAAGCCATGAAGAGGCCTCACTTCCTCACAACAGGAGTGCCCCCCACCCCAGGCTGGGGACAAGGAGGGATGGAACTTTTCACTTTTAGAGAGAATTAGTCTGGAAAGTTAGGGCCGGAGGCTTGTGATGGGGAGTTTGGGGAGAGTAGTGACAGGCAGTGTCAACAGGGGCTGAGATCTTTGGTTCCAAGAGGGTGGCGGGGTGGCAGTCTAAAGATGAGCTTAGGGGGTGGCTGAGTACAGGAGAGTCAAAGACACTGAGGTCTGGAGGTTCAGTGGATTATCAATGACTCTAGGGTCTCAGTGGAGGAGTAGAGACAGAGAGGATGGTCGGGGAAACAGGTGGTCTCAGTGGTGGAGGCAGTGGCTCCAGCTGGGGGTCTGAAGGTGGGAGGCAAGAGTGTGGGATCCTGGGGATCCAGGAAAAGGGCCAATTATGGGCCTAGGGTCTCAGGGCTCTGGGAAACTGATCAGAATTCGGTGGTGCTCTAATCTCAGAACCGAGTCTTCAGATGAGGATTCAGATATTGGGTCTCAATGGGTCTGGGATCCCAAGGAGTCTCAGTCCCAGAGTTAGGCTTACAGGTCTGGAGTCCGCAGAGTTGGCTGTCAAGGGCCTGGCCTTTCGTGGGGGTGCGGGCTCTTGGGGTTCCAGTCCTCATGAGTCTGGGGTCTCAGGGTCAGGTGCTCAAACTCCCTGTCTGCGGGAGGTCCCGGCGGGCTTGGGGCTCTCCGGGGTCGGTACCGAGAGCCTACAAAGGGGCCCAGTCTAGGGACCGCGGAGGCCCGGCCGAGGAGGGGCACACTCACCTGCAGGCGGCGCAGGTAGGCGGGAGGCACGTAGCCCGTCTCGCCACTGCGCGCCCGCGCCGCCAGCCACCAGTGCGCGCTGCTGCGCTCCAGCACCAGGAAGGTCTCGCCCGCCGCGAACGCCAGCGCGTTGGGCTCCGCCGAGCGGAACGCGTAGAGCGCACGATACATGGGGCCGGGCCGGGCCGGGCCGCGCCGGGGCAGTGGAGGCGGCGGGGGCTGCGGATCCAGGACGCCAGGCCCGGCGCACCGAGATCGCCCCGCCCCGCCCCGCCCCGTGACACATGACGCGTGCGCGCACCCGCCCTCCCGCCGCAGCCCCGCCTCGGGAGAGGGGCGGCCCCCGCGCGGATCGCGGCGCCCCCTGGCGGCCCCGAGCGGGGCGGTGCGGCCCGGAGCGGCTCCAGTCTGCGGTGAGTCCGGTCCGGCCCCCCAGACTCCGAGCCTCGCAGCCTCTCTCGCCCGCCCCAGCTCCTCCCGCCTGGCGCTCCACCCAAGCCCAGGTGCTGCGGCCCGTCCTACCTCCCGAAGGAGCGCTCCGCCCGCAGCCCAAAGGCAGCGCCTGTGTCCTGCGCTCTAGTCCCCAGCGTGCCGGGCGCGCTGGGGGAGTGGATCCTGACCTACTAAGCAGCGGCGTAGTCCCATTGTTGCATCTCGCTGATCCAACACTGGGAGGCGCCCGCGGGGGCCGGTCTCGGTGTCTGCAGGCTTCAGGACCCCTCTCCACCGAGTCCCTACTCCAGCCACAGGCACCAGGTCGGCCGTTCCCATCCGCCAGTCCTTGCTGCTCACTCACCTACTCTCTCCGCTAGCTTCTCTACTCCTCTATTGTGGGTCTTCCATAGGGTTTCCTCTGCCAGGGACTCATTTCCCTCCCTCACAACCTAAGGTTATCACACAATTTCAGTCGCTGTCACATTGCCCTTGTTGTCTTTATAGGATTTACAACTTCAAATTATCGGACTTCTGATGCTCCCTTCTGAGCATACAAGAGAGCTGCTGAGGGTGGGGAGGGGTGTGCTCTGTGGCCTCAAGAACTTATTTACCCCTGCACCCCTTTCCAGTCAGCCCTGACCTGTCCTTGATGTCTTGAGAGGGAGGGACCCAGGGGAGAGGCCCTAAGGGTCCTGGGGGCCTCCTATTCCTGTCCAGGGACTGGTCCTGCCACATTCACCATTGGAAGCCTGGGCCCAGGGTGCAGGGACTGTGGGCACAAACAGTTGGCATTTGTGGACATAGTGCACATAGGCATAGTGGGCCTTGGAGGAGGTGCTGGGAGTTTTGGGGAGGTGTGGGGCTGTTAGAACTGGACATCAGGACCCTACCTTGGCTTCTCCCAGGTGTCTGGTTCTGCAGTTCAAGACCTCCTGCCACACCTCCCAGGGCCCTCCTAGCAAAGAAGTAGCTCTTAGGGTCTGTGTGGATGAGACTGGCATAGCTGTGGGTTAGCAGCGGTGACATGTGTTATGGCTAAGAGGACCTCACTGCCCGGAACACTTTCTCACTGGGACTCCCCACCTCCTAGGACCTTTTGCCATGGAGCCCATAGTTGCCAACAGACCAGAGCCTGACAGCTACTTGAGGCCCCAGTTTGGCTCTAGGACGTCTGACATCACAGTGACCAACCAATTAGCTGCTGCCAGTGGTGCAGGAGCTGGATTCAAGGTCTGACACACATGCTGCCCAACTTCATCTTAGGCTGCATGGAGGGCCGGGAAAGACATGTATCAAGAGTCAAGTAGTTCTTTGCTTAGGGAGTGCTGGACACTAAGCCGATACTAACCCCAAAGAGACCCAAGGACCGAGCCAAGAAGCTGTGGTGACTTTAGGGTCTATGAGGTGGGGGCAGGGGCAAGGCGAATATTCCAGGACTCGGGTGGAGGAGACAGCATGTGTGAAACTTCTGAGGGTTGGGAAAGGGGCTGGCTGACTGCCCCTAGTAAGAACAACAGCAGCACTGTGTACAATTAACAAAAAGATTTGTATTAGAACATTTACACTCAGGGAAGAAAGAGGTATCTGCATCATCAAATGTGGAATGTTGAAGAAATAGTTAAAATAAATAAAAGACTCCAAACGCGGTTGGGGCTGGCTCAGGCTGGGACTCACAGAGGCCTCTGCACATCAGCTCCAGGCTGCAGGGGCCAACGGCCTGGCCATACTGGCCTCCTCCCCGACGCAGCACAGCTGTGCCTGGGACACAGAGAGTCTCTCAGGTGCTGGTGCAGCCAGCAAGCTCACTCCCCACTTTCCTCACTGATCTCTGTGACAATGTCTATCAGGCTCTGGAGCCCAAAGATATAGCCAGCATCCTGGCCCTCGTGTACCACGCTGTCCTCGCCATACAGCCTGCAGGTGGTATGTGCAAAGTCGATCATGCGCACGTCCACTGAGCTGGTGCCGATGGGCTTGTAGGCATAGGCACCAGCAGATTCGTCAGCTGACTCCTCTGACAGGTCCTCCAAGTCCTCAGCATCTGAGTCCAGGGCCACCTCAGGCCATTCCTTGCCATCATAGATGACCAGTAGGGAGCTTGAGTAGAAGCGGTAGGACTCCTGTCGCTCCAAAACGGCTTTGAGCTCAGCCAGCTTCTTCAGCACAGGGCCTAGGAGCTCACGTCGCAGGTACCGACCATTGTGGAAAAACTGGAAAAGTGCCTCCTTGAAGCCCTGCACAGATAGCTTCCGTCCATGGTACTTGTTCATGAACATTAGCTGCCCGCTGCCTGCTTGGTACACCTGTGGGAAGGAGACCAGCAGGTTAGGTACCGACAGCTATCTCAAAGCCTGAACCCTGGCCAACAGCAATACAACAGCCCTGGATCAGACACCTGTCACACAAGACGCAATCCTCTGATCAAAACACATTCAAGGAGCTCCCTGGATGGCTCAGCAGTTCGGTGCTTGCCTTCGGCCCAGGGCGTGGTCCTGGAGTCCCAGGATCGAGTCCCACATCAGGCTCCCTGCAGGGGGCCTGCTTCTCTCTCTGCCTTTGTCTCTATCATGAATAAATAAAATCTTAAAAAAAAAAAAAAAACCCACACCCATTCAGGATGCAGCCCTCTGATCTAGTTCTGTCCCCAGGCCCTTGCTTAGTGTATGGATTAGTGGAGAGAGCCTAACCTTCTTGCCTTTATTCCTGCTCCTGTACAGAGGCTCTGCACTCAAACAGGACAGCCCCAGAGGGTTCATCCAGGCATGCATTCTTTTTATCAGAAAGCGACAGACTTGCTCAGCCACGCTGGAATCTTGAGAAAACAGGACTATATGCCAGGGTTCAGGAGTGGCAGCTACCGAATACCCTAACCCACCCACGCTATGCACCAGCATTCCATTCCCCTCACCTGCATGCCACACACACGGACACCAATGACTGCAGATGTGCTCTGCTGGCACTTGCGGATCTGGTTGGCTGCCTTCTCCTCTGAAGCATCATCACCATGCTGGCGGGTACCCATCTTGAGGTCCAGGACACAAGGCACCTCATAGCGGGAAGTCAGGTTTTCCAGTAAGATGAATTCTCAGTGGTTAAGGACAATCCTCGCTCTAAAAAGAAAGTGCTGCTACATGGGGCCTTGGCACTCCCAGGGCACAATGCCTGCACACAGTACCTCAAAGAAGCCTGAGTCCACAGAGGGCCCCCTCAGTCCTGCTATCCCCCCACATAGGGAGCCCAAGGCTAAAAGGCACATTTAATTCTTGTCCAGGAACTGGCTGGTTCTAGATTTGACACAGGCCTGGGTTCCCCCAGCCTGGAAGATACACACACACACACTTCCTGAACTTAGCAAGACGTGGGAAGAGGGTTCCACACCAGATTGTCCTAAGTTATAAACAGACACCAAATAAGTAAATCCTGTAGCCTTATATGTGAACTGGAAATATCTGTACGAACTCATGAAAAATTTTCTCATTAAAATAAATGTGGGGATCCCTGGGTGGCGCAGCGGTTTGGTGCCTGCCTTTGGCCCAGGGCGCGATCCTGGAGGCCCGGGATCGAATCCCACGTCGGGCTCCCGGTGCATGGAGCCTGCTTCTCCTTCTGCCTGTGTCTCTGCCTCTCTCTCTCTGACTATCATAAAAAAAAAAAAAAAAAAAAAAAAGTGTATTTCCCTGTTGTGTGGCACCAAAAACGGCTAGAAACAATGACAAGATAGATTTATAAGCACCCCTAGCACCCAGACCAGTTTTCCTGGGGCAGGGATTGGTGAGCATGCCCCTCCCTGGCCCGGCCTCCGCGGTCCCTAGACTGGGCCCCATTATAGGCTCTCGGTACCAACCCCAGAGAGCCCCAGGCCTGCTGGGACCTCCAGCAGATAGGTAGTTTGAGCATCTGACCCTGAGACCCCAGACTCATGAGGACTGGAACCCCAAGAGCCCGCACCCCCAAGAAAGGGTAGGCCCTTGAGAGCCAACTCTGCGGACTCCAGACCTGTAAGCCTAACTCTGGGACTGAGACTCCCTGGGATTCCAGACCCATTGAGACTCAGTATCTGAAGCCTCATCTGAGTGGAATTCAAGACTCGGTTCTAAGATTCCAGCACCACCAAATTCTGATCAGTTTCCCAGAGCCCTGAGACCCCCAGACCCATAAATGGCCCTTTCCCTGGATCCCTACTTGTTGTATGACCTGTAAACTAGAAATCATTCTTAAATTTTTAGATCAAAAAACATAGAATACGGGATCCCTGGGTGGCGCAGCGGTTTAGCGCCTGCCTTTGGCCCAGGGCGCGATCCTGGAGACCCGGGATCGAATCCCACATCAGGCTCCCGGTGCATGGGGCCTGCTTCTCCCTCTGCCTATGTCTCTGCCTCTCTCTCTCTCTGTGACTATCATAAATAAATAAAAAACTAAAAAAAAAAAAAAAAAAAATCTTTAAAAAAAAATAAAAAAATAAAAAAAAGTCTCTCATAGTTTATATAAAAGTGCATCTGAGCCAGGAGTTTAAAAAAAAAAAGAAAAAAAAAAAAAACATAGAATACTTCATGACATACGAAAATTACAGGATATGCAAATCTTGGTGATACAGTCATGCTCATTCATAAATGTAATTATCTATAGCTACTTTCATGCCACAATGGCAGAGCTATGACAGACTGACTGTACAGCCTGCAAAGCCTCATGTTTAGGTTACTATTTGGCCCCCTACTGAAAATGTTTTAACTCCTACCTTAGAGGAATGAGGAACTCACATCTGGAGCAGAAAACATACATGACCCTGGGACCATCTTTTCATACCAGAAAGTAAGGCAGCCATCACAGACTACCGTGATTGTGTCAGAAGGGCTCAATAGCCTATTTTAAAAGACCAAACATGGGAGAATTTGCACATCAGTAAAGATAAAAACTACAAATGGAATAAATCATATCAAGTATGTTTAAATTCACAGATTTATAGTGATGTTGAAAAACTCACTGGTCATCTTTGGAGGATGGTGAAAAACCCACCCATTATTCCAAATATTTAGTAAATAAAGGAAAAGAAACATTTAATTTGCCTTTCCTATAACAACCATACCTCAGCAAAAGCATACAGTTGATGAGGAAAAGTTTATAGATTCCAGCTAAGAAGGAATGACAAAACTAGAAAATCACCTAGTGGGAAAAGGGATCTAAGACGATAGCAATACAGGAGGAAAAAGACAAAATAGTGTACTTGCTAACAGCCAATACTATCTCAGAGGGATTCTTACCCCCACCCCAAAAGTGAACCTGCATCTGATCAAGCCTGGAGATCAAATTAGCAACTTAATGGAAAACAGAGGAAAAAGAGTAACACCACAAGAATGTAATCAGTAAAATCCAGATGGTGTGAAACTTTAGAAGACCTAGTTTCTTTCTTTTTTTAAAGACTTATTTATTTGAGGGAGGAGGGGCAGAGGGAGAGTCTTAAGCAGGCTGTCCGCTGAGCATAGAGGCCAATTTGGGGCTCAATCTCACAACCCTGAGATCAGGACCTAAGCTGAAATCGAGTGTCAGCCACTTAACTGACTATACCACCCAGGCACCCCAAGACCTAGTTTCTTTGACAAGAAATTTCCAAGAAGAAAAAAGGAAAGGGTATTTTAAAAGCTTTAAAACACAGGATGCCTGGGTAACTTAGTGGCTGAGTATCTGCCTTAGGCTCAGGGTGTGATCCTGAGGTCCCGGGATTGAGTCCCGCATCAGGCTCCGCACAGGGAGCCTGCTTCTCCCTCTGCTTATGTCTCTGCCTCAATAAAATCTTAAAAAAAGAGAGATTTAAACATTTTGACCAAATGCAAACATTTGACCAATTCAAACCTCACTTGGACAATCCATCAGTATAAATATATTTATGAGACAATTAGGGAAATGGGGACACAAACTAGATACTTGATAATGAGGAATTACTGTCTACTTTTGAGGAGCAATAATGGTAATAACACCTTAAAATACCCTTCTCCTAGAAATGCATGCTGAGGTGCAGGTGAGACACTTCAGAAAGAGCTCGGCTGGGAGTGCTGGGTTTAAGAAGACTGTCATGGCATGAGATGGACATAAGTGGATTAACTGCTAAACCTGGGTCACTGGTACTTATAAGTTCAAAGTATTATACTATGTCTAACATGTTTAAGATTAAAAAAATAATCAGTGAAACATAGCTTAATGGGTTAGAAGGGGGAGAAAAAGAGGGCAGCCCCGGTGGCTCAGCCGTTTAGCGCCACCTTTAGCCCAGGGCACGATCCTGGAGACCTGGGATCGAGCCCCATGTCGGGCTCCCTGCATGGAGCCTGTTTCTCCCTCTGCCTGTGTCTCTGCCTCTCTCTCTCTGTGTCTCTCATGAATAAATAAATAAAATGAAAAAAGAAAAGAAAAGCCCCTGTGCCATTCTTCACATACCAGTCTGGTGAACCAGGATTGAAAGATCAGCACCCACCAGCCACCCCACCCATGGCAAGTAAGCAGTCTGGGGATTTCAGAAAACACAGACCAGCCCCTTGTACTCTAGGCTAAAGCCTCCCTGATGCAGGTTGGTTCCTCCAAGAGGTGCCCCTCACTTGCTTCCCTACCACCTGTATTCCCAGACCAGCCCCTGTTCCTGCGGGAACGGAGCTCTGCTTGCGGTTACTATACAGGGTATCCTGACACAACCTGCTTGCGGTTACTATACAAGGTATCCTGACACAACCATGACTAGAAAACAAACCCAGCTTCTTTGAGATCTTAGGGTCTCACCTGCCCTCTCCCTCTCCCCAAAGCAGAGACACTTTGTGAACAAAGGATACTGTACTGGTTCCGATGCTTTGCATTCTCCTTCATTCTCTGTAACTGCTGCTGGTGACATTTCATGCTCCATGGGTTAGAGTGTTTAAGCTGGGAACTGATATTCCCCTTTTTCTCTACACTGTAGTACAAGACTTCAGATTTTTTTAACCACTCGAACTCCTCTTCTAATTTGTGGCTGTAAGGAGACAAGAAGCCAATAAATCACAACGTCTTTTTTTTTTAAATTTTTATTTATTTATGATAGTCCCACAGAGAGAGAGAGAGAGAGGCAGAGACATAGGCAGAGGGAGAAGCAGGCTCCATGCACCGGGAGCCCGATGTGGGATTCGATCCCGGGTCTCCAGGATTGTGCCCTGGGCCAAAGGCAGGCGCCAAACCGCTGCGCCACCCAGGGATCCCAAATCACAACGTCTTAATCAAAATTCAGGGCAAAAGAGGCACAAAAGATCTTTTGGAGTGATGGATAGTTTAAGGTCTTGATGTGGTGAGGGTTTCAGTGTATACATTAAACACTTCAAATGGATACATTTTATATAAGTGTATTATACCTCAAGAAAGCTGATTTTTAAAAAATTGAGGGGCCAGCTCACTTTTTTCTACCGTTAGGAAAGCCTCAGATGCGAGAACACCCTGTCTTCCCTTGCACCTCCAATCCACCACCCCCATCTTTTCCCCACCCCCTGCCCCAAGCCGCAGCCTTTACTGCCCTCTTCTGGGTGGTACCACTCCCTGGCTTCTAATACCTCCAGGTTCCCGGATTCCAAATGCTGGAAACTAGGAAAAGCTGAATTGAAATCCCGTGGGAATAAGCCAACCTGCTTAGCTGCATTATTATACTTCAATTTATATATTTACAAGCTCTGACAAAGAACGGCACTTGGAAGGCTCTGTATAGCTGGATCCCACATTTCAGGGATGCCCAACTGATCATTTTGTCTTCCACCACCAGTGAGGAACCTGAGGTGATGGGATGGCTCCTCGCTGAGCTTGGCACAGGGCAGCTGCAGCAGCAGTGAGTGACTACAACTCTGCTTATCCACAGTGGCATAATTTAACCCAGAGTCTTTTTTTTTTTTTTAAATTCCTTGTATGTTTAGACTTTATTTCAAAATAGGGATCCCTGGGTGGCGCAGCGGTTTAGCGCCTGCCTTTGGCCCAGGGCGCGATCCTGGAGACCCGGGATCGAATCCCACGTCGGGCTCCTGGTGCATGGAGCCTGCTTCTCCCTCTGCCTATGTCTCTGCCTCTCTCTCTCTCTGTGTGACTATCATAAATAAATAAAAAATAAAAAGAAAGACTTTATTTCAAAATAAATTAACTAGCAGGTTATATATCCTAACAAAAGGCTAATAACAGGGGCAGCTCCGGTGGCGCGGCGGTTTAGCGCTGCCTGCAGCCCAGGGCGTGATCCTGGAGACCCTGGATCAAGTCCCACGTCAGGCTCTCTGCATGGAGCCTGCTTCTCCCTCTGCCTGTGTCTCTGCCTCTGTCTCTCTCTCTCTCTCTCTGAATCTCTACGAATAAATAAAATCTTAAAAAAAAAAAAGGCTAATAACATTTATAAGGCAGAATAAACAACAAATCAGATGACTTCATTATGTCTTTTTTTAAAAAAAGATTTATTTGAGAGAGAGAGTGAATGAGAAGAGAGCAAGAGAGCGAGATGAGGGGCAGAGGGAGAAGCAGACTCCCCACTGAGCAGGAAGCCTGATGCAGGGGTAGATCCTGGGACTCTGGGACCACAATCCAAGCCAAAGGCAGACACCCAGCCAACTAAGCCATCCAGGAGTCCCTGGTTTGTTTTTGTTTCTGACACAGAGAAGGGGAAGAAGGAGAGAGAGAGAGAGAGAATCCTAAGCAGACTCCATGCATAGTGTGAAGATCCACGTAGGGCTCTAACACATGATCCTGAGGATCACGACCTGAGCCAAAATCAAGAGTTGGACACTTAACCAACTGAGCCACCTAGGCATTCCATGTCTGCATTTATATAGTGGATTTGGGTAATATGGTGTAAATCTGATTCATTTTAAGTCTGTACTTTCCTTTGTTTATAACTTCCCTTTAAAAATCAATTCCTAGGGGCACCAGGATAGCTCAGTCAGTTAAGCATCTGACTCTCCATCTTAGTTCAGGTCTTGACCTCAGGGTCATGAATTAAAGCCCTACATTGGGCTCCATGCTGGGTATGGAGCATACTTAAAGAATAAAAAATCAAATCCTAGATTTAGGATATATTTTCAAAGGCCAAAGTGGTAAAATTCCACTTCAAAAAAAATTTTTATTTTTATTTACTTATTTTTTTAAAGATTTTATTTATTCATGAGAGACAGAGAGAGAGAGAGAGAGAGAGAGAGAGAGAGAGAGAGGCAGAGACACAGGCAGAGGGAGAAGCAGGCTCCATGCAGGGAGCCCGATGTGGGACTCAATCCCGGGGCTCCAGGATCACACCTGGGCCGAAGGCAGGTGCCAAACCGCTGAGCCACCCAGGGATCCCCCCCACAAAATTTTTAAAGGTACATTTTTAAAGGGGGACCTGGGTGGTTCAGTTGGTACTTTCCGCTCAGGTCATGACCCTGGGGTCCTGGGATCAAGCCCCATGTCATCAGGCTCCTTGCCCCTTGGGCAGTCTACTTCTCCCTCTCCCTCTGTCCATCCCCCAAACTTGTGCTTTCTCTCAGATAAATAAATAAAATCTTTTAAAGGGCAGCTCAGGTGGCTCAGCAGTTTAGTGCCACCTTCAGCCCAGGGCATGATCCTGGGCATGATCCTGGAGACCGGGGATCGAGTTCCACGTCAGGCTCTCTGCATGGAGCCTGCTTCTCCCTCTGCCTGTGTCTCTGCCTCTCTCTGTGTCTCTCATGAATAAATAAATAAAAATCTTAAAAAAAAAAAAAAAGTACATTTTTATGTAGCTTTCTCTAAATTTGGTAAAAGTCACTTTTGTTTTAGAAAGTACACAAAACTCTTTTCATATATGCCCAAACTATAATTTAAAAATCATGTGATTATCTTAATTGTAAAATAAAAAAGAAATGCAACTATAAAATACAAAAGAAACGTGACATGTATTTCTGAGATGCCTGGCTGGCTGAGTCGGTTAAGTGTCCAACTCTTGGTTTTGACTCAAGTCATGATCTTAGGGTCATGAGCTGGGAGCCCCACATAGGGCTCTATGCTCCACAGGGAGTCTGAGTATCTTCTCACTCTCTCTCCCTCTGCCCCTCCCTGCTGCATGCTCATGTGCATGCTTATGCTCTAAAAGTAAATAAATCTTTTTAAAAAATAAAAACGAAGTGTGATATTTCTATAATCTAAAGATGACCTCAGTGCTGAAGAGAGAATTGGCATTGCCTTTTAGCTTCACCTATGATCCACATTTTAAAAGTCTACTATATCTTCTCCATTTTCTATTTCAAAAATACTGATCTTAAAATGCTAATATTTAACACAAATTTCAGAAGTATAACCCACAGTCATTAAAGAAAAGTTGTGGGAACTGGACACTGAGTGACAAGGCACCTACTAAGTCTATCATTTGAGTCCTAGCTCTAGGGGGCTGGGTTGTAAATAAGATCACACCTCTCCTTCCTGCTGAGTTCATACATACCTCTTCATCTTTTCCTCTTTCCGGTGCTGCCTCACCCAGTCCTTGGGGCTCTTTTCCGTTTCTAGGACATGATGTTTTTTGTTTGTCCACCTCAGGAGCTTACTTTTTGGTTCACAGTCTGAATTGTCTACACTATCCACAGTTCCATGGTCCCCTTTTAATGGATATGCTATTAAACATAAGTTCCTGTCTTCATCTTCTTCAAAGCGTACAGACACCACACCTGGAAGGGGAGGCGAGGAGCAGAGAGAACTTTTAATTCCATAGAAGATGTGTTATAAATAACATGATTGTAACATTTGTTTTTTTCTTACCCTGTTCCTTAGTCTCTATGTTGCCAGAGGCCCCAAACTCATCTGCAAACCTAACAAATATCAAAACAGCTAGAAAAGATGACACCATACAAGACAAGCGATTAGGGAGTAAACATGGCCGAGAGTCATCCTCTCTGATGCACTCAAAAAGGCAAGAGCCAAAGAATTACAAGACACATTTTTCCATTATTGAAAATGTTTATTAAGTTTTATGTAATTCTTCTAATCCTAAGAGAGAAGAAAAAACATTTGCTCTTTTTATCTTGTGGGAATTTTTGATGCCCTAAACAGAAACTCCGACGGCCTGAGGCTTGCTTTAAAGCAGAGCCTGAACGCAGGGGGAACAAAGGTTTGTCCTGAGGGGTAAGAAGCATCCAAGGGTAAGGGAAGACTGGGCAAGCAAAACAAAATAAAGGAGCAAACAAAACAAACCACACAGCACAACAGACACCCTAGCAAAGGCTTCTTGCAGCACCCCCACACGGGTGGGCACCCCAAGCCTTTTATCCTCAAACATGTTACTTTATTGGTCTTTGCAGTCACAAAAGAACAAAATGAACACAAGGCAAATAGGGTTGGGCCGGGAGCACAGACGCGTGGTGGCCTTGAAAGCAGCTCTCCCCCTTGAGTCTCTAGAACCTGCCATGTGTAATTAGACAGTCTTTGAGGAGGGGGCTGTCAGGTGGGAGCGTTTCAGCAGGTGCCGACGAGCGCCTTACAACCGACTGGCTGAACACCTTTCCTCCCAGGCCTCTCTGGCCTGGGATCACTCAATTTGCTCAGTCCTTGCTGCCCGCCCGCTTGCTCGCTCGCTTGCTCGCTGCAGGGGAATGCGTGCTCAGAGAGATGACACTTCTGAGGTGGTCCCTGGCCCTGGGCGCAGAGGAGCAGAGGACCCCGGGTGAGGAATTCAGGGGACCACACATTCCTGTGGCCACAGGGAAAGAACCAGGGGGAAAAGGGGGCAGGGGCAGCCAGCTAACAAGGGGCCTTTGGCTTTGTCCTGGAAAAAACAACAGAGAAGGACCAAGTGAGGGCCCTCAACTCCCCAACCCCCCACCACAACACACATGCATATTCAGAGTACAGAGAGAGGCGCCCAGTACATTCTGTCTTCAAAGAGCATGTTTCAACAGTCCCAGAAGAACCTAGGTTGTTCAAGAGTCTTTTGTATAATCAAGCAATGTAAATTTAATTTCCTTAATGGATTCTTTGATTTATAAAATATCCCCCTTCCCCAGGAAAGACCACATACGCTGGTGGCTGCTGATGTCACCCCAAAAATGCAGTATAAAAAGAAAGAGTCACCACATGTGAATCAAAGGGTTGCCATAACATCGCAATTTCGGGGACATTCCGTAATAGCAAAGGGCTTCAGCTAATCAGCACAGGCCTCCCACTCCTGCATTCCATCTGACTCAACCCTGCTCCCAGCCTACCTAATCACCAGGGCTTCTGGTTTCCTGGAGGACAAAAAGCAGGCCGCAAGGATTCTGGGTAAAATCCGCCCAAAGTCTTCCCCCGCTGTTCCCCCAGGGGGGGCTATGGGTTACTGTGATCAAGAGACACCTGAACATAAAACACAACTATACTTCCACCAAAAATACACTCAAAACAAATTCACAAAACAAAACAATTGAGCAATCTTACCAGGCCTTGCAAACTGAGGGTGTGAGGTGCTGGGCTGAGGGCCAAGAGGAGGAGGGAAAACACAGAGTGTGGGGAGGGGTGAGGGCTCCCGGGATGGCTGCCCGGGCCTTCCACGGCTGCGCCGCCTCTCATCTCTCCTGGCCCAGGCGCTGGCGACCCCTATGGTAGCGGGGGCTCACCTTTGTACTGGGGAGTGAATTTGCGCATCTCGGCTGGGAGAGTCTCGTAGAACTGGTGCTCTCTCGGAACCAGGGGCTTGCATAGAGTCGTCTCGTTGAAGCGGAGCACGCATGAGTGCCCCCCAACCTGATGGACAAAGGGCTCCAGCAGGACGCCCTTAGTGCGGGGCTCCACGTCCATGGCCCTGAAGGCTGGGCTCATCCTCCAGGCGCAGGCGGCAGGGAGAAAGGGGAGGCGGCGGGGTCCAGCGGCCAGCGCGTCCTCCGTCTGTCGTCCGTCTGGCCTCAGGTCCTCGGTTGCGCGGGCTAGGACGCTCTGCTGGAAGCAAAGAGACACTGGCATTGGAAGCGGCCTGGGAGCCGTCTTAAAGCCGCGAGCATTTCTCCAGCAGAGACAAACAGCCAGATCTTAGGCGGGGCTCCGCCCACGCCGCCCACTCCGGCTCCGCCTCCTCCCGCAGAAACAAACAGCCGGAGCTACTGCGGGGCGGGGCCAGATTCCGACAAGCAGGGACTGGCCTCAGGTGTTCCGAAAACAGCCAGTGCCCTCCACTAGGCGGGAAAAATGCAAAGCAACGATAAGGTAAAGTTCCATTTCAAACCTAATAATTCAGATTAAATCTTGCCATTTTCTAGTAAGATTGTTGACTTCATACATTTTTAAAAATATTTTGAGCGAGAGCGAGCGCACGAGGTAGGGCTAGGGGTAGGGGAGAAGCAGGCTCCCTTCCCTCCCCGCTGAGCAGGAAGCCAAATGGCGAGCTGGATCCCAGGACCCAGGGATCACGACCCAAGCAGAAGGCAGACGCTTAAGCGACTGAGCTACCTAGGAGCCCCCATACATACATATTTTTAATACTTCATGTTTTAGAGTAGTTTAAGGTTCACTAAAATTAGACGGAGATAATTGCTCACATAACCATCTACCCCCACACATGCATTGCCTTCTCCGTTATCAATATCCCTCATCAGAGTGGTAGGTTTCTTACAAACTGTGATGAACCTACATTGATTCATCATCATAGTTTACATTAGGGCTAATTCTTAATCATTAATTATGTTTTTATAAAATGCAGTTAAAGGGAAAACCTGCTTACTCACCATCTGGTAAGATTTACTCCCCCAGAGTGCCCCCCCAACCCTAAGGCCAAAGACAAGCCCCATTAAACCTTATTAGCAGCAGAGCTTGGGCCTAGCTTTAATGATTAACGTCTGTATCTAAAAACAACTGATCAAGGCTGGCTAACTCCATTTTAAAAGATACATGGTGTTCTAGGTCAGTGACTATTTTTATCAGTTCTATCCTGATCTCCAAAAGCTGGGGCACACCTTTAAACCAAAGCTGCACTCCTGGGGTAATCAGGGCCTGAGGTTTAGGGCCTTAGACCTGACTTCGCATCTCTAAGCACCCCAGATCTCAGCAAAGCAACCTCAATGCAACTGTTAACCATTTCAAAGCATGTCAAGCTAGTTCTCTGTTTTCTGTCTATAATTTACAAACTACACAGGGGCTACTAGCACTACTGACAGGGTGTTGGACATTTCATTATCTGTACAGGGTTCTTAATGGGAACTGGAAGAGTCCCCCATGTGCCCCAATTGACATGCTGGTGGTGAGAACAGGTCTGCTGAAGATGTGCCCACGTCCTCTAAGGTAAGTAAAGCACCTATTACATGCTAGGTTCATTACAGAAACTTACCTCATTTGGTCCTTGGGATATTTTCTGGGAAGAAGACACTATCCTCTCTGTTGCAAACAATGAAGCTGATTTGGGGAGGTGAGGAAACTCTTCCAGGGCCAGGGACAATAAGCCACAGCTCTCAAATGAACCTCAATCTGTTGGATGCCCTCCTAGGGACACCTCTAGGTCTCAGGGTCTTTGGCACTAATTCCTTGATACAGCGCTCTTCCTATGAACAAGGGACATTTAGCCTATTGTGAAAGTGCCTTCACCATGTATATTTTCTGTTTATAATACAGCCTCCCTTAAAGAGTTTAAATTAGTTGTTAATCTCTTTTTAGAGAGATCCAACTGTAGGCCAACAGGACTTGAGGATTAGGAATCCATAAGCTTTCCTATATGCAAAGAGACGAAAACCAAAGGTCCTGGCACCACCTTCTCATCAGAGAAGCCCTCAGGAGGGAATGTGCTGAGCAGGGTTGTAAGCTCCAAGGAGTACAGTCCAGTCATTCCAGACTCTCTCCAGAAGGTGGAGCTCTGAGATTCTTGGCCACTTGAGCCCTTTCTTAGGGTCTACAGACCAGTTCATACTAATGCACTAAAGAAACCTCTGGAGTAAAAGCAATACCAAAAGAAAGCTACTGTACTGACTTAGACGGTCTGCCAGTACCCAAGCACCAACCAGGTACCATAATTATTAAATTGTCAATGCACAAACACAAAACACTTCCCATGGTCCAGGCTTTAGAATCACAATCCAAACCTTTCATTAAAGTATAAACTGCTTTTGTTACCAGAGTAATGCTAACACCAAAGTGAATCCAAATCCAACTCTGTTCAAGATTCCTTAAATGTACTCAATTAAGTAGAAAAATAAAAATCTCTTTCTCCAGGCATCTCTTACCCATCTAGGGATGGTAAATCTACAACAAAAATTGGTCCCTCATGGCAACTCTAGTGTATGGTGCATGGGTGTGGCTGGAGGCCAAAAGGCCAGGTGAGTGTCTCTATCTCCTCTTCCCAGGTCCTCAGTGTATTCATTAGCTGCTGGGTATGATGTGGCACCTTGCCACCCTGCCCCCCAGCACTCAACTCTGGCAATCCACAGAACATTGCTCCCTAGAGAATAATCATCATCTTGGGTAGAGAGCAAGAAAAATAAGGCTAATCCTCGCCTGACCCAAGCTGATGACAGAGGAAACTGCCAAAAATGAAGCGAAGTTAGGGAGACAACTGATTACCCAGTAGTGAGGTGAAGCCAGATTCTAGTCCCAGTTCAGCCACTTGATTGTTTGGAGAAAGTCTCCAAGTCCCTGGCTCCCTCTGGGTTCCAGCTTTCTGGTTTGTAAAACAGAGAACACAGACCTGGAGTAGCCCTTGTGTGGGTGGTATAATGCAATTAGTGAGTGGTAACCAGTAGTTTGTTTTAACCAAAAAGGAAAAAACAGTAAATATCATTGCATTGCAAATAATAAGTCCTGTTTTGTGATTCTTTTATTTCAATGATTTTTTAAAAGATTTTATTTATTTATTCATGAGAGGCACAGAGAGAAAGAGAGGCAGAGACACAGGCAGAGAAGCAGGCCCCACGCAGGGAGTCCGATGTGGGACTCCATCCCAGAACTCCAGGATCATGCCATGCCCTAGGCTGAACGCAGGCACTCAACCACTGAGCCACCCAGGCATCCTTTTTATTTCAATTATGTTTAGTCTCTCAACATGAGCATAAGTATATGGCTTCACTATACCACATATTTATAATATTTGGGGTTGTGGATGAAGAAGTGGAGCTTGCCCCATCTCTGTGGAAAAATGAAGGATCAAACTTCCCAAAGATTACACAGATCACATCGGCTCCCACTCTAGTGGCCTCAACCTGGCCATAAGAAAGAAAAGTGCCCAAAACACCTGCTCTTTTTCACCTGCTACTTTCTGTTCCACATATGGTTTTAGCAGAGGGATTTTTAAATGTCTCAGTTAGTCTAAGGCCCAGTTTCCCAGGAGTCCTAAGGAGAGTTTTAGTGGTTACTGAGAAGTCCATGCAAAATGTGTGGACCCTGTGACTAGGGAGGGAATAACCATAAAATACTGCCCTCATATTTAGCATCTAAATTTAGTTTTCCACACTGCCTCATATTGGTCCATGAAACGATAAACAAGTAAGGAAAGCAGAACATAATACATCCTAGGACAGGACATAGATTTCCTTTGCAGCCCATCCCCTTAAATCTATTAATCTGGTTTAAGGATCTGCTGGAAACAATGCCTTAATTTCTTAGCTTCTAAAATATTGTAAATAAGGATGCCTGGGTGGCTCAGTTGGTTAAGCATCTGCCTCTGGCCCACTCATGATCCCCAGGGTCCTGGAATGGAGCCCTATGTCTGGTGCTCTGCTGTGCGCTCCCCCTTCATGTTCTCTCTTAACTCTAATAATACAATCTTTTTTAAAAATTTAAAAATAAAATATTGCAAATAAAACAACTATGACTCATGAAAACCCCTGAGCCCTTAGCTCACACGCCTAGAATTTAGCTAATGAGGTTACAAATGGAGTCTGCTGGGGCCACTTAACTTTGCCTCAAGAAAAACCCCAGGGTTGGATAGTCACAGGGGGTGGTGTGAGGCACACCAGCCTGATGGTGGAAAAACAACACTCATCATTCACACCTCCTCTCCATGAGCCCCAGAGCCACCACCATAAGGTATCTGCACACAACCCATGACTACATCACCAGGGTCAGTCACTGGAACTCTTAAATACTGTTGTAGGAATGCAAAAAGTGGTATAGCCACTTTGGAAAACAGTTTGGCAGTTTCTTAGAAAGTTATACATATACTTATTATATGACCCAATAATCCTATTCATATGTATTTGCCTAAAACAAATGAAAACATCTACACAGATCTGTACATCATAGAGATACTATTACAATAGCCAAAAGGTGGAAACCCAAACATCCATCAAATGGGTGAATGAAAAAAGAAAAGAAAAAAAAGAAAAAAAAAAGGTGAATTAATAAACGAACTATGATATATCCATATAATGGAATATTATTCAGCAATAAAAAGGGATATATTGATACATACAACAAAGATTCATAATAAAAGCATTATAAATGAAAAAAGCCAATCACAAAAGATTATATGCTATATGATTCCATTTATATGAAATTATATAAAAAGCAGAACTCTAGAAAGTACACAAATAGCTGCAGAGGTAGGGGAATAGAATTGACTGCAAAGAAGACTAAGAACTTTTAGGAGTAATGAAAATGTTCTACACTGTGACTAGGATGGTAATTATAGGACTACATAAATTTGTCAAAATTCATCAAATTAGACTTAAAATTGAGGAGTCTTATTGTATATAACTTATACTTCATTTGAGGAATTAAATTTTTCTTATACTTTTTAATTTACCAAATTTTCATAAGTACATATTATTTTAATAATCAGGAAAAAATTATACTTAAAAAGATCATATTAGGTGTCAAATAGCTTCTATATGTAAACGCTTTGGTTGAGATTTACTTTACCAGCCATTCTAACTGGGCTCACTTGCCACACACTGAGCACCTTGAGTCACTCCTGCCAAGATGCCCGGGTCACCATCTTGGTCAAAGTAAGGACTCTCCCA